GGGGGCCTGTCCTGGGTCCAATGCCATTTTACGTATTGATTAATAATTTGGATGCTGCAACTGAGAATTTCTTGAGCAAGCTGGCATATAACATTAAACTTGGAAGTCACTCAGAATGCAGTTCCTTTAGAAAGGGTCTGCACTCAGGTGTCTCGCATCCCAGATGAGTATCCTACTTCTTGTACCATTTGTTGTTCTGGGCTCAATCTTATTTGTCCTCATGTCTACAGCAAAGAAGCTGAGAGTCTTTGTGAATCACAGACTCAATATGAGTCTTCAGTGTGATGCAGTGGCACAAAAGGCAAAGGCAGTTTTGGGATTCATCAATAGAAGTATTAGGTGAAAGACACAAGAGGTAATAGTGCCTCTCTATTTGTAACTATTTAGGCCTCATCTGGAGTATTGTGTGCCTCCGTAAACTTCTAAAGTCCTCGTTGTCATTCTGACATGGAATTAAAACAGATTTCAAAACCTCAATTATTTCTGTGAATCAGAAAAGTATTGTTTTTCAGCCAGATCTAATTCCCAATTATTTTAAATTTTTATATAATATAAATACGTTTGAAATTCAGAATTAAGGATGTGATAGCAATTCCTCTATGCTTGCATCATGTATACTACCCATTTGATGCCAATGTCAATGTCAATGTGATGTCAACATCACCAGAGTCAATGTCTGGGTGAAATCCTGATCTCCTTGAAGTGAGGAGAGGTGCCATGAATTGAAGTACAAGTACGGTTTCAGCCTTAGTATAGTTTTCATTGTTTTTAAACTACTCTTTATTCTGAATATGGCAGATGTGAGTTTATGAAGATTGAAGTGTGAGGAACAGACCCTCCTCTCCCCCGTGATCTGTAGCTAAAACTAATACACCAAAGGAATCACCATAGTGTATTTCTAAGTGTTTAAGTCCTATATTCAGTTAAAGGAGAAAAAGGGTAGCACTATGTAGGCCTGCTCATATTCTCCACAGAGAGAAGAATGAAATGTTAAGAGGTAGAAATTTGGTGTCTTATGAACTTATATAGACAAAGACATGTAAAACTTGTTGCCTTGCCATGGGAGAGTGAAAGTAGGGAGAGAAGTCTTCAGGGTTAATCTTATGGCTAACCGGCTAGACACCTGGATATTGATGAACTTAGCTCTATGTAGGGGGATGAATCTGAGGAAAGGCCTTGCTTGATGGACGGTTTTCAGTTTTATTAGTAAATAGATACATTATGGGAAAGGTATGTTCCTCTCCTAGAAAGTGCTTAAAAAGATGTGCTGTGGAGATGGAAGACACTCATAGGAGTGGGGTGTTGGAAAGACAAGGTAAGGAAGAAAAGAGGTTATTTATTTGCAGACCTTAGCTCAGAATTTTTGGGCTTCCATTTCATCATTAATTAGACTTACCTTAGAATTGCTATGGTTTTTAAACTAAGATTTTAAAAATCAGGTGCCTATGATTGTGCTCCCATATCCTTAAAAGCCCATTTTTTAAAAGGACATATATTTTTAAAACATTTAGACTGTATTCATTTCATAACACTGGAATGAGGGATTTTTTTTAGTCAAAACAACTAATATCTTCACATTTATGTGTGTATCTTAAGGAAATGCTTTGTTTAGGATTTTTGTTTTTAAGGAAAGAATTTTTAAATTATAAAAATGGAAATATGTTCCAGCTTGTTATCTTATCTTGTGACATGCACTGTATATCACTATCCCTACAACTGTAGCATGAAAAAGAACATTTACACTCTTTGATAAACATGTCAGCATAATGCTGGAAACAAATACTGCACTGGCAAAAGTAGCCTTCTGGAAGCTAATGGCACGATGACAGTCACTTAGAAACTGTATGAACACCAGTGAAGTTGATAAACTTGTCGAGACCTGTCACTTTTTAACAGTTGAAAATAAGTTTTGTCTACTTACAGTATAAACATATAGTGTTTATAAATATCAAAGACACTCTATAAACTCCATAAAGTGTATAAATATAGCTGGGCAAACTATTTTTGGCTAATAGAAAATTAACTGAAAAATATGGTTTCAGTTATCCCCAGACCATTTGTGAACTTGACCTAAATTTTGCTTTATAATATTGATTGGAAAATGAATTTCAAGATGAGATTTGGAAACCCAGAGAAGAAAGAAGAAGTGTCATCCCTTTCTATCCACTATCCCAGTGGTGAGAGCACTCACCAGTGATATAGAAAGCCAGGGTTCAGTTTCCTCCTATTCCTGATGTGATTTGTACCCATATTTCCCATCTCTCTAGAGAGTGTGCTAGTCTCTAAACTACAGGGTACTCAGAAAGAGGTGGTACAGGAGCTCAAATCTTTCTTGTTGACAATATTTTTCTTTGTATACCATATTTTGCTAAGTATAACACTTGCTGCAGCCTAGACAGTATTCCCAGTGTCCCACCTCCCAGTTAAGTACCCTAACTTTTACACTGCATAGTCATCTTCATTCATTTGCTCTTGTTTCAGTGACTATTTAAGTACAGTACAAATTGAAACAGCTCCAAAAGGAAGGACTGAGAGAACCTGCCCACCCCAAAACATCCTAGAGCTAGCCAGTTAGGTCACTCTTGTGTGAGATGTGGGATCCGAGCCCTTCAGACAGGGGAGGGAAATGAACCCAAGTCTATCACATTCTGGGAGACTGCTGTAATCTTTTCCTCCAACAGTTTTGGGAATGTAGCCCATCTCTTTCTTTGCTTTTCTTTGACGTGCCTGAAATCCATTTCTTGTGCCCTGAATCAGATCTTCCTTTTTCCTTCTGATGCTCAGAGTTTCCCTGTGTTAAACCCCTTTGCATGTGCAAGAGCTTCTTCCTCCCACATTAGAGTTCATGGAGTTTACAGAACCTATATCAGAGCTCAAGAGATTATAATACCTACAGGCTTTGAAGAGAGATTACAGTTACTGTTGTGAGAAAAAAATCCTATGAGAATAAAGGTTTATGAATTCCAAAAGAACTAAAACTAGGCCTCTGTGCTAGTTTTAAATTGGGATAAAGAAACAGAAACATTTTTTGAGTCTTCGAGTCAGAGTAGATTAAAAAGGGAAAGGCCATAGATTTTATTATAATTTAAATATTACTTGACAGATTTTAACTCAGGCTGTATTCCAAGACTATCCTCTGTAAAGAAGGCATGGAAAATTTCAGGGTGAAAGATTATTGGAGGGAGAGAGTGGGATGGTATCTGGAGATGGTCAAATTGGGCTTTTAATTAATATTAACTATGTCATAATCCTAAACATCTGAAGTCACTGCTGCAACTCTATAGCTGCTCAGCCGCACTCTGCACATAAATGCCTGTTATGTTACCCAGAAAATCTTTCACTAGTCCTCCCCTGTTGCTTCAATGAAATAAATCTCTGTTCCTCTAATGAATTAAACAGCAAAGTGCCAAACTAATAAAAAGATATCGCACAGATACAGAAACCAGAAAATACATATAATTAGAAAAAATAGCTCTTAGTGTAGAAATTAATCAAATCCTGTTTAGCATTTTGAAAGCTAAGTGAGTCCTTATATTTTTAGTGAGGATCAATGATAAAAGAGACAGAAAAGGAGAAAATGATTAACTTTGATCAATTGTTAAAGTTCTAAGACCTGTAAAGTATTCTGGGGGAAATGTGAGAATTAGCAAAGCACTTGGCTTGTTTCTGCAAGACAGAATGGTTAATAGTAAAGGCCATCCCTTCTAATAATACACATGAATAAGTATTCAACTTAAATTAAGATTAAAACATCACGTAAATTCCAAAATGTTAAGGAAACAGCAAATGTATCCCAATAATTGGAGCCCTGTTGTCAGAGTCATCAACAGTTAGGCCAAACAGTAGTCAGTACTATTGTCTTCTATTCCTGAGCACATAATTATGCTGCTTTGCCTGAACTCCTTCTCCACCTGGGATGTGGGTCATGTTTCTCCCTAAAAGCCTTGGCATTGAAACAAAACCATCACACTTTCATTTTCTGCTCCCGTCATATTCACATGTGTATTCTGTGAGTGACCAAGTGTCACATGGGATGCATGTGCCTGGGGAGTCTGAAAGCTGAGTCTGACAACAGTGTCAGGGGCTGGGACAAGTGCAGGAGGGTGCAAGCATGTGGATGCATTGGATAAGAAGCTAGAGAATGGATTCAGGAGGGCAGAAAGCAAGTGAATGAACTTAGGGTGCTGCACTGCACCTGAAGGGTGTAGGAAGCAAACTGCAGGAAATGTTTGGAGAGGCCCCATGGCTCCGACCCTTGTTCCTCTGAAGAAGTGAGGGACACCCACTACAACCCTTGAAGGGCATGTGCTGCTGTGGGAAGAGGCAAAAAGGGGGTTCCATTTCACAGTTTTCAACTAGTAAAGGAAGGGGCCTCCTGTTCCTCCCACACCAAGGGAAAGCATAGCAATGGTGTGCCTTGAGGTTAGGTTAGAGGCCTGAATTGACCCTATCCACCCCAGGGGATGGGAGTTTTTTAATCATGAGTGACTGGTGCCTCCTGAATCTGGGGAGCACCCACAGAAGCCACTGATGGCAGCGGCCCTGTCAGGGTGGGCACCAGCCCTGCTGACAGCGTCGGTGTCACCTGTCGGGGGAGCACATGCACCCCTGTGCATCCCCTACCAGTCGCCTATGGTTTTAAGGTGATGCAGTGGCAATGGATCAAAGTATTGAGTGTGTGTTTGTGGTGTGTGGACTAGAGACTGATGTCTGCAGCATGCACAAGGCTGCCTGGTAAAACCTAGGTCATGGCAGGGTTGAGCATGGGGGATTAGACAGAGTGCAGGCACAACAGGGCACCAGGATGCTTCAGTGATGGGTGGTGACCTCGTGTTATGGGCGCAGGGAGAGTATTGGGGCAGGAGATGCTGGGAGCACATCTAGGGAAGGATGTCTATGCATGGGTCTGGGGTGTGCCCTATGAGGCTCTGGCATGGGGGAGGCTGGGGGTCTCTAAAGGTAGGGGTGTGGGATATGAGGCCCACAGGCCAGTGTCTCACCCGGCGGTTGCGGTCGGCCTCGCACACCTCCTCCTCCTCGGGGCCCTGGCGGATCAGTGCCTTGAGCAGGACGGCATTATTGGTGCAGCAAGCACGGAAGAGGGTCAGCGGCTCGGGGCTCTCGGACTCAGATTCACCCAGTGACCAAGTCTCACCCTCATCGTCATCACCGCCCGGTGGGTAGAAGGAGTCATCCGAGGTGATGCTGTGAGTGTCAGGCAGCTCCGAGAAGTCTTCATACTCCTCATAGTCCTCCTCACTCTCATCCTCAGCATTCTCGTCTTCTTCCCCTTCATCATCGCCACCATCCTCCTCCCCCTCAGCTGCCGGCCTCTCCTGTCCTGGGCTCTGCGGTTCCCTCTCCCTGTCTGAGCTGGGACAGACCTGTTGCTGCTGTTCCCCCTTCAGCTTTTCCCCAGACAGCAGCACCATGGTCCGCTCTCACTGGGGATGGGCCCTGCTGCTGGACCTGCTCCCCAAAAATAAGAGGGAATCTACAGGTCAGGGAGAAACCCCTTGAGAGGGGAGCAGGGACCTCCCCTCGCCCTGAGATGCCCACTGAGATCCCTTATACCTACTGAGACACCCCTGGACACATACTCATGCCCCTACGCTTGATATTCCCCTATACACTGAGACACACACTCACACCCTTACACCCAGAAACACCCCTAGACCCACTGAGAAACCTGCATATACTGAGACACCCCTAGACCCACTGAGAACCCCTGCCTCCCCATAAACCAAAGTGCCCTGAGCTCCCACCCTGCCCCTTGTGCATACAGGCAGCCCCTGGCAGCCCTCCACAGGCAGGTCACCCCAGTGCCACCCACAGCTCCCTTATAGAGCCCCTGCCACTTTCCCTCTGCTCCCTCAAGGACTCCCCAAGACCCTTCCAGGTAGCTAGATGCAGCCCCCCAGCCTCAGCCCAGCAGCAGTGGGATCCTCTGTTTGCTTCCCCCAGGAGCTGTGATTTCCAAGAAGAAGAGCATCTGAGCAGCTCCGGCAGGCAGAAAGCCCCGAGGAGACACAGGGCAGCCTGAGTTTTCTGTGCGAGTCACATGCAGAAAGAGAAACACGCTGGGTTTTCCCCTCCCCAGCCCTGCTTCAGACAACGCCTCCAGCAGTGCCAAACATCCCCTGGTGCACTGTCATGTCTTTGGGCTGAGCGGATAATCCCACTCCTGGGGGCTAGGAGCCATGACAACTCGACTACACGTACCTACAGCAGTCCTCTGTCCTGCCTCAGTTACAATCACAAATAGGTTCCCACAAACCCCCCCTCAAACCGGATCAAACAAGACTCTCTCCTCCACAAAATCATAGAAAAGGAGGGTTGGAAGAGACCTCAGGAGGTCATCTAGGGTCCAACCCCCTGCTTCAAGTGTGTAGGGGGTGGAGAGCCTGGCTGCTGATAGGAAGAGACGTTTGGAAAACTCCTAGCCCATAATCCGATCAGCATCTCTGTGAAATGATTGAGGCTCCAGCTTAGCCTGCTGACAGCAGGGACCCATTTTAAAGCTGTTTAGTGGGGGACCTGCATCTGTCAGGACAGCTTTTTTAAACCACGCGGCAGAATGAAATTGCAAGTGACAGGTCATTTGAACTGCAAGAACACCTTCAGCTTCTTCATCCTGTTCAGTGTGTGGCAACTCCCTGCAGTGTATCAGGCACAATCACTACAGCCAACAAGGGGTTTACTCGCTTTTATATAGAGCATTCTGGGGATCAGTGTCACAGGCCAACGGGAAGGGACAACTACAGGTAAATAGGCATTCAAAGTACAACAACATACACTTAACACTTAAAGGGCAAGTAAACAGACAGTAGTCAGTACCCCTGGAGTACATACATTCAGCACATACGTCCCCTCCCCACCTTCTGAGGCTTTCCCAAGAACCAGCCTTTAGTCCAGAGTCACTCTGTGCAGGTCTGTAGGTTGGGGATCACATGCAGTTGGTCTGTGGTTCATCTGTGCTGTACAGAGGCTTCCCTTTCACTCCATTCTCAGCTCTCCTCTCTCTCCATCCACCCTAGGCTCTCTGGCACGTAGCCAGCATGGTTGTGCGTTCCCTTCCTCATCCTCCTGCTGCCCCGAGGTCTCTAGGATTTGCAATCCACAGAATTACAGAAGCAGTTCTCTGCAGGGTTGCTTATCACTTTCTCGTCCTGCTTCCAGTCGCCTCTGGGATTTGTAGTCCGTGGTCACAGCCAGCAGGACTCCGCAGGGTTGTTGGTTTGTACCCAAAAGCTTGCAAAAACAATTTTTCCAACTATTTAATTCGTCTAATAAAATATATCACATCTACCCAAACAACCTTGTCACCTGTTACACATTCATATCACATTTCCAAAGCACACAATGTATTACATTACACAGTGCATACACGTGGCTCATCTGGATTAAGTCATGTGTTTGCATTTCTGGGTTATATTACTTCTCTGTGAATAGAGATCACCATGAGATTTGTGGCACAGGCAGTGTGTGTAGGAACAGATAGTGTGTTAGAAAACAGAGGAAGAGGGATTACAAAGCAGTGCAAACCTAAATGTCTAAAAACTACTGTGTCAAGAAAATCTGTGAAACTTCTCAGCAGTACTGCAGTCCCTGCAGAATTCCAATTAACCGTATTAATGTTTCCAAACTACTTAAATATTAAAGGCAACCTTGGAATTAGGAGAAAATCATTATGCACAATTAGAACGTGTAGAGGGAGTGAGAGCAAGAGAAAGCTTTGTTTCAGATATGAATTCTTTACATCACATAACACATCAAAAACCTTACCAAATGTAGCTGACGTGCAAATAATAAATTCTGGGGGCTGTTAGCAATTCATCTCTGCATCAGTTACTTTAAGAACAAGCTTCTGCCACCTGTATCCACTTGTGGAATACCAGAATCCACGCAAGAGTCCCACTGGAATCAAGACTTTTACTTACCATCAGTAAGAGTGCCAAAATATAGTACAAAAGTGATCCTACTGTTATAAGTTGTTTATTTTATTTTTTATTTATTGAAAGCATTGCACAGATCAGACAAAAAGTGAAAGTCACAATGCATGTAAAAGTGGAATTCATATTTATGTATAGTTATATTTATTCATTAAATCTTTTGCCAGATTTCTTTTGTGGTCTACTTTTCCCCTCAAATGTGATGAATTTAGACAATTTTACCCTGTC